AGACTATAAAGTAGACTTATGGGAATGAGTCAATGTTATAGGTTTTGAGAGCTCCCGGGAAACTTGGTTTTTGGAAGAATTATATTCTGGAAAAGTCGAAAATGTATAGTTGTACTGTATGTCTGAAAATAATGATTCAACAGGGACTGTTACGGAAAACTTTAATTTTTTCAATATCATACAAACTATAAAAATTAGGAAACGTCCAGAAAATGTGAACGCAAAATTTTCAATATCAATTCGATTTTATAGATTCGAAAGCTCTAGATTCTTTCGATTCTCCTTGAAACATTCTTTCAAGGAATAATATATGAGATTCATGCTTATCTGTAAAAGACTTCAAATGCACAATCCTCTTCAGTAATGTGAAGTATTGAAGATTAAAACTTTGGGGCATCGGAAGATTTTTGGAAAATCCAGAAGAACTTTCGATGAATTATTGTGTGATCCAGATACGATATATTTTTTTGCAGGGTTTCTGGAAATTTTGACAATTTTTATGGCAGTGACTGATTGATGACAATTCCAACGGGATCAAAGTTCACTGTCTGGAGAGATTCAGTCTTCAGAAATCCATACAAAGATAAAAAAAGAGTTTTTCATACCACGAGCACCGAGAAGGCTTGAGAACAGAAAATTCGAATTTTTCAACAAAACAAACACCAGTTTTTTTTCTGGAACATACTGGATCAGCTTCTGAAACTGTATTGAACACAAATGAGAGGTCGTTTGAAAATCTGATTACCGTAAACAAAACGGAAGTCAAATATTAGGTTGTTCGGAAAGTCCTTTCCATTTTTGATCTGTTGTTTTCAAACTTTGTCTTTTCGAACGGGGTAAAAGCGAGGAAGCTGTCGTTTTATGAGTATGTTGGTGGGGTCTGATAGTGTCTACACCCCAACGGAGATCATTCTCCTCTTTTCGTGTAGTAAGATATGCACACCGTTTTCGCCTCTAGTAATTTCCATTTTTGAACTACAATTTTATTTGTATTTCTATCTGATCTCAAATTAACTGAAATCGATCGCCAATTAGTGGTGGTTAACAAAGAAGATGTATCCTCTCGAACTACCATTACAACCTGGATTCATCAACTTGAAAAACGAGTATTCTCGTTGGACGAAAATCCCCCTTCAAAGAGGCAAACGGGGTTAGGTTTGGATGCATTAAAAGCCGGGATCGAGAGGGACCCGTCTCAAACTGTATGGGATATATAAGGTACATCAGTGGCAAACCTTTCGTCAAAAAGCCATGAATTGGAAACGCTCGGCAAAGTCAAAAAAGTGGGAAGACATGAACCACACCTTTTGGCTCAATGCAACTTCGATTCACCTGTGGGCACCTGTTTGAATCTTCTCATCCTGCGTTGCACACATGAATGTTGGAATCAAACCATTGCTAGTGGTATAAATGGGTAATGTGTGATTACAATAAGCAACATACCAAGTGGGTTGACAAAGGCGCTCAACCATCAGACGTCTCGAAACGTGAAATTCGTGTTAAAAATGGGATGTTGTCAGTATGGTGGTCTACCAAAGAATGGAGTATTAGGAGCTGCCTGATAATAGTGTCACTTTTACGACCCATACCTATTCTTGTCAGGTGACATAACTCAGACTCCATGTGGATCTCCCTTGGAGAGAAACACAATGGTTTACGCAAAGGTTTATTTTGAAAATTGAAATTAGCAACTTCATGCCGAAAGGAAGACCCAGGCCGATCTCGGTGGATATGTCTAGACGATTCTGCCTTATTCACTGTATAGCTCTAACCTTCTACTTTCTGATTATTACCCATCCAGCGACTTCTAACGTCATCTTGATTGACGAAAATTTACTTCAAAACAACGTATCAAAAATGGGTTGACTTGATTTTGAACTCGCTGTGACCGGAGTTCTGGAAGGAAGGAATCCACAATTTAGTTTCGTTTTGAAGATGGAGCATATGTGCAGTAGACAATAAGGCTTATCAACTTATCACCTTTTGAATGAAAAAAGTTTGAACGTCTACCATGAACATGAACAAAGTTAAGGTCGCTCAAACGGTCCCGACTCCAAACTCACGAAAAATCAAAAAATGTCTCACCATTTGAATAGACCTTCACGAGGGCCGCTATAATTTTGGGATTTTTCTAGACAGTCTGTGTATTTACAATAGGTTTCATCCGAACTACTTGTCACAAAATTTCCTTCAACCAATAATTTGCAAAATGTCTTATGCTCTATGATTTGCGGAGGAAGATGGAAAACAAACTTATAGCAATCACAAAGTTTCTTTTAATTCTCACATCACCATGATGTATGTTCTTTTGCTGATTTTTGTATCCTTATTTTCAAATGAGTCAGGATCGTTTTCAGTCGATTTAGAAAGAGTTGTAAAAAGCTATAAAACACGAGAGTGATTAACGGACCAACGAAGGGCCAACAACGGGTGGGCCCATAGTTTTTTTTCAGATTTTAAAATCAACAAAAAGTGTGTCATATGACGTCAAAATTTTCTGAACAAAAAAAGATAATTATAGGAAGTCAGGAACTAGTTTTGAAATTTCAGAAATTTCGGATTTCAAGAGTTTGTCAACTACAGTTTATGTTCTACTGGAATTAATCAAAAAAATATAAAATTATTCAGACGAAGAACGGACAATGGAGACAATAGATTTATCTTCTCTTCTCTTTCCGAACAATCCTCTTACAGTATCCCGATACTGTGACGACATGCAGTAGCATATGAGACAGTGAACAGAAGAGTTGACGATTTGGAGAGTGAGCACGAAGGAGTCCAGCTTTTTGAATTCTTCTCTGGAATTGGTGATGATTGAGCTATGCAGTCACGTCTAAAGCTACACGGTCATAGCTGGAGCTGCGGGGTCGACTGTCTCCAGCTGAGCCAAAAAATAAACTCACTGCTCTCTATAGCCGAAATAAATATCACTTGCGTAGAATAAGGCAGCATAAAACGCTTCTGAGACAAATAAACTGAACGCCATAGACAATACCAATGCATATGTATTGGTCCTGGATCTGAAATTCATTTTTATCACTTCAGACCCCAAATCCAAAAAAACTCACTGCTCCTCCTTGCTGACATTTTTCCTTATCTTATTGGCTCTTCTTATTCCGATGACTAAAGCGATAACAACAAGGAAATAGCATATACTGATGAATATTGCAACGAATCCATCTACCATCAAGTAGGTTAATTCCCATGTTTCTCGGTCGACAAGTCGATATGGCAGGTAGCTAGGTCTCAACAGTTTTACGACTGGTCCAGTGAAGGAGAAGTAGTCAACCATTTCGCTGTCACAGCTGAAATTGAACGATATATAATAATGGTTAGTGAGCTGTCTTTGTTGCTCAGTTGATAGCGACTAAAACTCTTTTTACCGCTAGAAATGAAGCTCGCGTAAGCCTTAAACGATTAGAAAATAAGTTCGTCAAAAAAATGTGAGCCCATCGTTGGAGGTGCCTCGTTGCTACCAGCTGAGCTACAGTGGCTCAAGCTGCCAAGCCGCGGCCGCGGCTACTTACTTTTGTACCACGACAAATTTTGATTTCACAAAATAAACCAAACTCCAAGAACCAGAAGCAACACTGACAAGGAACATAACCAAAACCCCGGCTTTTATCTGTGTCATAGCGCTGATAATATTATTCATCGGGAAAAGAACCGATAATGCTCGAATTGTCGCAATATACAATGCAAGAAAACTTGAGCCTCGTCGACATAGGATTTGCAAAGTTTTAGCAATTAAATTGACCATCAGATGAGAGTATCTGGTTCCGTTGTAACATGCTTGGACTTGATAGATGTAGTCCATTCCAATCTGTGTGATGTTACCAAGGGACTGGAAAATATCACAAATGCAGATTCCAATCATTATTAGGTAGACAAGATTAGTCCTTAACGTTTTGCGAGAGAGAATGGATAGATGAAAGAAATTGATGAATAAACTGAAGAAGCAAGCAATATCATATAACTGTTTGGAAACTTCTATAATCGGGTTTAGGCTTTCGAAAAATGCTCTAAAATCTTCGGTAAGATAATCGTAGTAGATCCATCGATCTCCATACTCGACATATTCATGGTACAGGTATTCATCAGAATATGGATCATCTACAGTTTCGTAATTCATGATGTATAGAAGATATTGAAATGAAAAAGTAAAAGTGATTCTACTTGTCACAAGATTTCCTTCAACCAATAATTTGCAAAATGTCTTATGCTCTATGATTTGCGGAGGAAGATGGAAAACAAACTTTTGGAAATCATACGATTTTTTTAAACATCTCACATCACTATGATGTATATTCTTCTGCTAATTTTTGTATCGTTGTTTTCAAATGGATCAGGATCGTTTTCAGATGATTTAGAAAAAGTTGTCAAAAGCTATGGGACACGTGAGTCATTAACGGACCAACGACGGGACAACGACGAATGGGCCCATAATTTTTTTTTCGGAATTTCAAATGATACTGTTTTATTATTGTCTAATAATGATACTGTCCTGTTCAAGTTCTATAATATCTATTTTAGTTGGTCAAAAAATATGGAGTCTGAATAAAGTTATGAGCTGGTCAACCATAGACCCGCTATCAGTCCGTCGTCGGCCTGTCGTTGGTCCGCCATTGGCCGTTCTGGTTAGAAAATGGATTGCCTAGGGTAGAAAATGAGCCACAAAGAGCCTAGTTTCTTCCTGAAATCTCACTTTCTTCCAGCCCCAGAATGTGTATTCAACCACAGTGAAATAACATCAAAAACTAAAAAATTCTTCCCAAAATGTGGAATGGTTTATGGAATATTGGTTATCAACTCAAACACTGATTTGTCATTGGCTCAATTGAAATCGGTTTTCAAAAATATGACAACCCTAGTTGGAGGGTTGATAGTGGAAAATTCGAGTTTATCGAACCTGGATTTTTTCACATATCCCTATGAGTATTTACCTTTTTACTGTAAAACATGTAAGGCAATTTTTTGACTCCATTATAGTTTAGGGGCCCCCAGAAGTTTGGTAAAATTTTGTTCTAAACTGAAATACAGTCAAATTTTTTAAAGTAAAACTCCAATTTTAGATGGTCTTGTTATCCGAAACAATTCAAAACTAACCAATGGAACAATGTTGTTAGGAACCAGATTTTATTCTCAAAACACTACCAAGGAATGTTATGTGTCGATCGAAAACAATGAATTATTAGATATGAGCAGTTTATGTGGTCAAGGAGAATTAAAGGATTTATTGGACATTCGTACAAAAGGGAATTTCAAAAATTGTGGTATGTTTTTTTTCAAATTTACAAAACTTGCTTCAAACTTGATATTTTGAATTTAAACAAAAAGTAAAAAATAGAATATGAAAAAAAAATCTCTAAAATGAAACCTCTGAAATCTCTAAAATGAAAATGAATTAGTTAATGTTATGGAAACTTGAAAAACTTCCAGGTTGCCAAGGTAACGGGCCACTTTCTGAATTCCAAAACTGCAACACCACTTTCAATGGCTTAAAACTTCTGAATACCACTAACCTCGATTTATATCCATTGTCTAATATTACAACCATTCAAGGCTCGATAGACATTCAGAATTCGAACATTCAAAATTTATCATTTTTGACTAATTGGCAGTTTTGGACAGTGAAATCCAATAGGACTGTTATACTGAACTTACAAAATAATCCGATAATGAAGCGGTTAGGCTTGCCGGTTTTAAAGGTACCGAAAGTATGCAGAAGACATCAAAAAGAGGTAGAAAGTTTTCAGAAATTCGAGAAAAAGTTGCGTGGACTCGGTCTGGCGAATATTGAAAACTTACATCCGGAATTTTGTATAACAATTGCGGAATTCAAGTTTATTTTTGAAGTCTTGGAATTATCATTTTTAAATCTAGACGCCAAAATTTGTAATGAGGAAATTGGAGACATTCGGGATAATGTTCTTTGTCATTTCGAATCAATGTATGATCTACCCTACAATTGTGATATTATTGTTGGAAATGTGATAGTGGATTTTGGAGATGAAGAGTATTTTTCGAAATTGTTCAATGTTTGGCATCTCTATGGAACATTGACAATTAGAAATACAAATTTGAAAACTTTTAATCGCTTGCAGTTGTCCTATATAGCTTACTTGGATGATAGGGATTTAGAACAGCAAGATCGGCTGATTCAAATTTACTCAAATCCCAAGTTAAATGATTTTCTCATGAATAGTGTCAGTGTAAGTGGTTTTGTATGGTTTGGCTGGCTTCCAGCTCTCTAGCCGACTGTGTTGCTCTAGTTCGAATTTTCCAGAACATCATAACCAGCGGAAAACGAGAGGCATTGATTCAAGACAATCACCCGGACGCCTTCAAGGATTGGGAAACTGGGGAAAAAACGGAATGTGCAATGTTTCCTTATCCTTATATGTACTTCAAGGATTACTACTCCGTAAACTTAAACTTCACTGGTGGAGATTGTGGACAACGTGTGGAGATTAAGAATTCAAATCTAGCAATTTTTTATTTGTCTGTTTCATTCACTGTAGCATATACTTTATTTCACATATGAAAAATGACTACTGGCAATAAAATGGAAGTGAATCCAAAATGAACGTTTGATGAATCCTCATCGTAGTAATCATAAATGGCACCATAGCTTTTCCGCTTTTTTCCTGGTAATTTTGCTGAAAAAATGGCGGGAATTCGAATTTTCGAGTTATTTAAAACTCACAACAACCCATTCCATTATACTTGATTGGGGTTTTTGTCTTTGCTTGAATCAGCAAACAATCTCTTTGTATTTTGAATATTTCTTGAGAATTATCTCGGATTTCAAGAAAACTAACATCACGTAAGTATGGAAATGGGGGGACCTGGAACTTTGATTTTTGTGGGCTGCAGCTTCTATTATTTAATTACCTTCATGTTTGGGAACTCTACAATTGCTAGTTTTTTGTTCGAAATGATTCTGATGATTTGATTGTCATCTGGAAAAATGATATTTCTTAGTAGAGCATTGTCAACATTGAAATCCAGAAAAAGGAATACAGATTGTTCGATTTGACTGAAAATTTCAGACTTTTTTTGGTTCAATGTTCAAAATTAGTGTCAAAATGTTGGAAGCGTTTTTTTTCGAACTAAAAAAACTATACCAATTTTCGAAAGCATTAAATGGCAATTAAACCAACAAGCAAAACTTATGAGATTTGTAAAACGGAGATTTTTCTCGAAAACATAATTTCTGGTGTAATCTGAGAGTTTCAGAATCCCAGAATCTCAGAATCTCAGAATCTCAGAATCTGGGAGTCTCAGAATCTGAGAATCTCAGAATCTCAGAATCTCAGAAGCTCAGAATCTCAGAATCTCAGAATCTCTGAATCTCAGAAGCTCAGAATCTCAGAATCTCAGAATCTCAGAATCTGAGAATCTCAGAATCTCAGAATCTCAGAATCTCAGAATCTCAGAATCTCAGAATCTCAGAATCGGAGAATCTCAGAATCTCAGAATCTCAGAATCTCAG